TGTATTTGTTGCGATGGAATTTGCATATAGTGGTAATGGCACATGTGATAAAACATTATAAAAGTAAAAAATATTCAAGTTATAATTTTCTTACCAAAGATTTTCAGCATTTCTTTCATTGGAAAAGTTACAATATTTTAGAATAATATTCTTCTAAGTACTATGCATGGGAAAGATTAGTTCTCTTTAAAGGTGTTTGGTAAAAAAAAAAGTTATAAATTTATTTGAAATATAGAATGAACACCTTGTTTATCTTCTATTTTTTTTTAAATGTTCTTTAATTCGTTTAAAAAATGTTTTATTTTTCAAAACTATTTAGTTTTATTAAATAATAAATTTAAGGGACTAAAGCTAAATTATTATTCACTACGAGAGTAATATATATATATATATATATATATATATATATATATATATTTAAATTTGTAACATTGAAATGTAATTCACTATAAATTTAAAAAATAAAATAATATAATTAAGTTTTTGTTTCATTTGAAAAAAAAGATAAAATAGAAGGAAATTGAAAAGTTTTATTAAAAATTAAATTTTATTCCAATAAAAAAAATCTCACTCTTTTTAACCACAAATAAGAAAACAAACATAAACCATGTGATGTAAATTCCCAAAATAAATAATGTAGAAATGTCTTTTTATAACTTCTACCATACATTTCCAAATTCATATTCTCCATATATTTAAAGCAACAACATTCTTATATAAAAGTTATCATTCCTTTATAAAAGGGCCATATTACAGAATCTGATACATTGAGTGGTATGCTTTTTAAAAATTTCTGTGACCATTAATTCTTGCAAATTAAGCTTGGGAAAGTTCTTATGGAAGTGATGTTTTTTTTTTTTGTGTGCAATCAAGGAAAAGGAAGAACATGCAACAAAATTGTTAGTAGTGGAGTGAGGAATCACATTCTCTAGAATGATAGCAATACAAAATTTGGTATAAAATAAGAAAAAGAAAAAGGAAAAAAGTATTTCGCAGGAACATTGGAGAATTATTCTTCATTTGCGGGGACAAGTTACATGCAATATATGCTTCACATGATTTACAATTTACTTTCTATGAAATAATATCTTCAAGCAAAAGAGTTCTTTAGATTTTGTTTACTATTTTACAACAATGGTTAAGTTTTAGCAGGTGGAAATGTTCTTATGTTATTTAGGTAAAAGTGATTTTGTTTGGTAAATTTAATAGAAGTTTACGAGGGAAATCACTATAAGAAAATATTAAATGGCAACTAAATTTAGAAACAAAAAAAAAGTTAGTTATTATATTGACTAAATTAAATACAATTTTATAAACTAAAAAATATTAGATATATAAATTAGTATGTATTGTTAATGAAAAATTGTAATTTCTTTTTGTGAATTAAAGTTTAAATTGATTTCCAACCTTTTGAATCAATAATAGTAAATAGTTACACTAATTTAAATAACGACTATCAAATATATATTCTTCTCCACTAAATCCGTTCTGACTTTTCTTTAAATAATGAACATTGAAGTTATAAACACATCTTCGCTTACCAAATCTTAAAATATAAAACATAATCAATACAAGAAAAAAGTTTATTTCTTATTGCCATGTATGTAATATTAAAAATTTGTATGTAAAAGTACACTGACTACAAATTACTTACGGACAAAAAATTCATATATAAAATAATTATAGGTAATGTTATATATGGATAAATTTGTATGTAATTGAGTTGGAAGTTTACATAAACAAATTTGTTATAGAGCGAAAATACCTGTAAAAACAATTCAATAGTGTATAATAATTCAGACAACACATGTAAATACTCATTATGTAAACATTACATATTGAATTCATTGAATAATAATAGTCTTCATACATAACATCTGTAAAATCCAAACATGTTTAGTTACAAATGTCTAAGTCTTAATAAAGTGTATATAGGATAACAACTTAAACATGGTGTCTAAAGGTCCTAATACTAATAATTCTTATAAGGATTTTCTGGATCTTGAGGTTCATCTTGTTACTGGTCTTGATTGTTGTCCTATGATTGATTTTGTTGGTCAGTATTTGGCGTTGGAAAGATATTTTGTGCAACCGTTCCTACCGAAGGTGGAAGATACTTGATGATTGCACCAATAAAATTTTATAACGTGTCAAATCTGGTTTGAAATTGGGAAGTGATCTATCGAATTTGTTCCTCACTATTGGCTAGTCGTGACTTACTATTTGCTAGTCGCAACTCATTCTGTGCTAGTCTCATTTGTAGTTGAGTAAACTCCTCCACTTTACTTGCTGAGTAGAAGAACCTTGTGTCTATTGTAAGTAACTATTGACACAATCATCATGAAAATTCACATGTCCAATCCCATAAACCTATCCCTTGTACCTTCCACTTGCTAGGATCTAGGGGACTGCATTAGTCTTTCCCCCTCAACAGGATCTAGGGGACTGCATTCTAATACACCAATGGATGTAGTCTCAAGTATTGTTTGAGAAAATCTACTTTGAAATTCTTCTTGTTCAAATAATAAATGTTTGCATTAATATAGTAAATAATTGACGTGTCAAATGCAATAGAGTTGGTAGAAACTAACATGTGTCTGCCTAGATATATCATCTATAAAATCCCTTATTGCTTGACAAATATGTGTTTTTTGAAATATTTTATCAACATGGACTGATCGACTGAGCTCCTTTGACTGGAAACAAAGAAATATGTAAAATAAACAAGGGTATGAATTGTTTAAGAAGGAATTGATATTATATAAAGAAATCATACCAAATGAATAACGTTGTCATGCATGGTAATGGATCCCCAAGTATGCAAACTCCGTCCCTTTTCTGATCCATGGTTTCTTTTAGGTGTATCACACTTTTCTAGATACATTGGCATGTTCCATTTCTCTAGCAAACCATACTACCTCTCCTATCCAATGAGGCTTTTTACCTTTTCTTTGTACCTCTTTAAACATCTATTAGATGCTTTGGAGTGAAAATTTTTTAGAACTCTTTCCTATCCTTAGCCCTCCATGACACCTTTTTTTTGTGATTACAATGAATATGTTAGAAATTTTGAAATCGAATAAATGCAAATGAAAAGTACAAATAAGTATTTTCATATGCCAAAGAAGCAAAAGACATTTTGCATTCATTTTCAATGAATAAGGAAGCAAATTAGTTTCATAAAGTAACATCCATAACAACATAAATAAACTTCACAAATTGAGAAAGCAATCACTCATTACTTTAGATTGTCTGTATTGTTGACATGTCAATCTCCTTTCCAATGGACTCTTTCTTTTGGATACAACAAATTTATTCACCCATTTAGAACTCTCACTCTCAACATTCACCANATAAATACATGTCTTGATATAATCCGGTACTATTATTTATAAATAATAAAAAGAACTCCAGAAACTATTATCAATCATTTTGTGACTGATCATAATCTAGTGATAAAAAAACATATATTGGCAAAATATAATATTTAATAAATTTTTAAAATCACTCAAAAGAAGCCATTACGAATTCAAAGTAATAACCCGTACGAAAAGGTCATTTTATGATAAATAATTTGTAGAATTACCCCCAAATTAGTCAAGCACCCTACTCATTAGACAGAATTGGATGACTTCCACTAGTTATTGTAAAAAATTGAAAAATGTGACATTCATGAGAGACGCCTATAAAAAGCATGTATCACTTGGTCCCACCACGATAGCAAACCCACGTTATCTTTTATCAACGTGGGTGTACTTTTAAGTCTCAAATAAGGTAAATTAATTTTCGGATAATATTTTGCTCAAACTTTAGCTTTGACACAACTATCAACCATTTTTCTATGTATATAATTCATGAGTGCCGTGTAAAATTTATATGTTGAATCAATCACATTCAATAAATTTATTATTTTAATTTCATAATAATTACATCAGAAATCATAACTTTTATATAAACAAAAGTGTAATAAACTTTTAAACAAAAAGTTTTAATGATTTTTAGTTATAAAAACACTTACAAAAACCAAATATGTCTAAACTAATTCTTTTTGCAAACTTTAGCACTAGGAAAATAAAACTACTTTTCTAATTAAGGTCTAATTTTTATTTTTTATTTTTTATTTTTGCAAACTTTAACACTAGGAAAATAAAACTCCTTTTCTAATTAGGGTTTTAGGGTTTGGATTATTTCATCTCATATGGAGTGATTACTTTCAGATAGCCTATACTGTAAAACAATTGATAAGGTTAATTAATTAATTAATTAATTAATTGCAATTAATATTACAAGTCATGATTAGCATGAGGGTGCACAAATATCTGAATCTTTTGTTCTGTCTTGCAACAGGAACAAGATATGCTGACCTTGTTTTGTGCTTTTCTGAAATACTGATAGGGTCTATGCCATGCACAATTGTCTATGATGTAGATCCACGTAAGCAAATCATTGACAAACACGATAATATTAAATAATTATTGGAAATATTCACACATTTTTTATTTAAAAAATAAAAAAGATAAATCACCCTTCTTCTTATTATATATTAAGATTTATTTTAATCCTTTATTTGTTTTAAAATTTATTTCAANAGGGGCTTGTTGATCCTCTTCCTCTTCCTTCTCACTACTTGAGTAATCATGCTCCTTCTGTGGCACAGGAGCTATCAGTCTCAAATCATCTGCGTTTGAGTTTCTTGGTCTTTTTTTGGAGTGACTTTTCTCTCCTCCTTTTGACAATCCCACAAGCCACTTTTGTGCATCATCCCACTTAAAAGGGGTTGGTTTTCCCATAGTTGTTAGATGGTGGTGGGGGATATGACGGCGGCTTAATCTACCAAAACACAAACCACCAAACTGTAATCCTGACCGGACCGCTCAAAATAAAAAGAAAAATCAAAACAAAAAAAAATTAGAGAAAGGGGATAACAGCTGAAGCAATGTAGATTTGAGATTGTTCACCATGCATCACTAAAATTGGGGATGGGGATCTGGATTAGAACCCTAGGAGATGTTATCGAGAAGCTGCTTCACTCCCAACGGCCACCGCTTGCTCTTCCCTCTAGAGGCGACGCAGTCGCAAGCGAGGTGGAAGTCGCGCTCGCAGCCATCGAACACGACGAGGTGTTGGTGGCTCCCGGTGGCTGCGTGGCAGGGCTTGGAGCAAGTAGCGCAAGGAGTGAGGCCACCGCTTGGGAGGGCAGTGGGGGCTCCCGGTAGCAGCCCGGGGTTCTCGTGATAAGTGAGGACGACGTCGGTGACGGAGTCCGATAGGGTTTCGGCGAACAAGGAGGAAGGCGAAGGGATCTCGGATTCCAAGAGCGAGAGTCCTGATGGTGGTTGCTGTGTTGTGGCTGCGGCGGGCATTAAGGTTGGAGCGTAGAGAAGAGACAGAAACAAGAGAAGGAAAAGGGAAATGGAAGATGGGAGAGGAAGACGCTTGCGCGAGAAGAAGAATAAGAAAATATCAAGATACTGACTCGGTTATCTGATTAACCTGTGCCTAAACAATTTAAAGTTCATATTATATTCCTCGGGTTATAGACATACCGAAGCAGAAAGGCCCTACTACTTCGGGTAGGCGGGGCAATATCGATTGGATTTGGGAGCTGTAGAGATGTCATTTGGCAGGCTATTATGCCTCGGTTCTGAGCAAAACCAAGGTAGTATCTCGTTGTCAGAAAAAAAAAACCTGATTTTGCAGTTGGGGCTGATGAAGTGACGCGACTTTTATGCATCGGTTGACCTTCTACCAGAGACAGTAACATTTATAGGCATCGGTTCATATATAACCGAGGCATATAACCACTCAATATTTACGGAAATGCCATCGCGCTTTTATACGCTTCGGTTTCAATAAAACCGAGGTGTATATAACGCCTTAAAAAAGCTTTTTTTTACTAGTGCTTATGACCTCGGTTAAGGTCACACCCGATGCACAAAGGTTGGCGGATGAAAAAAAACAAAAACAAAAATGGGCTCTACTGCCTCGGTTAGGGTTTCAACCGAGGCAATAGAGGGGGACATACTGCCTCGGTTTAGAAGGAACCGAGGCATAAAGTCCTACGAAAAAAAAATAAAAAAACCAAAACATCTACTGCTTCGTTAAGGCTGAACCGAGGCCAAATCTTCCTCTTTTATGCCTAGGTTCGCACCCGAGATTTTTTGCCTCGCCTGGATATGCTTCGGTTCGGAAACCGTTGTCTATAGGCAAAAATAAACGATTTCGTTTCCCTTGACTGCACTAATGCAATTATCATTATGATTGTGATAATTTTAACAAGTTTGTTTGACTTATAAGGATTCTAAATGAACTAGCATATACCAAATATATGTAGTGTGATAAAAACTAACATATAAATTGATTAAACAAGGTATAAACCATCCAAAAGTAACTTTTAAACTAAATCTAGAAAGAATATTATATGGGTAATGGTCAAATCAATACTTTTAAATTAAAAATATAAATCCGAAAACGGAGTCCATATAATTGCTTTGTTAAGTTTAGCTCAATTATTCTAAGGGAATAATTATATTCTTTTACTCAACGTTGAATAAAAAGGATTATACACTAAAAATAATTGAAACTAAACATTCTTAAAAAGGATGTGGCAGCAGAACAAAAGTAACTTTTCTAGGGCAACGTCGTTGGAGGAATCAAAAGAACAGTGTTAGAAAATGAATCAAACTTACAGTGTCAGGGATCACAATTATTATTCTATATATTAACGTGCAAAATGAACTCAAACAATAAAGTATTATCTAACGTCAACACTCTTTTACTCAAATTTATAAAAGTATTTATAGTGAATGCTTCACTTCGAAAGCTTTCAATTCATCAATTACTTCTGCAAAGCCTTGACTCTCGCACCAGAAAATTCAAAAAACGTCAAATTTTTATAAATATAATCAACGTCACAATGATTAAAAAAATATTGAAATAAAGTTAATAAATTATAAATATATTGCATTCAACAGAAAAAAAAGGTGCATTGGTTATAAAGAAAACAAACAACGCTACAAGTTATTAATAAAATTTAATTTTAATAACAGGTGAATTTCCAGTGCGAAAAAAATTTCCAATTCCTGTGTATTTAACTTTAAATTTTGAGATTACCATCAACACTCTTACCAATTAATTTATGTTAATATTCAAACTATGGTGAAAGCCACCATGGACACTGTCATCAAAGCTCACAATGGAGTACATGGATAAGCACCATTGGTGAAGATGTTTTCCTATGCTTCTTTTCCAAGAGTGGATATTTGGTTAACTACTATTATACCATGAAGGAGTACACAATGGTAGAGTTCTGCTTTTTCCACAACTTGTTTTAAGCATTTATAACTTGATTTCGCATTTTGTTTTTAGTCACATGCCTCAAGCAATTCTTTCTTTGTTAACAAGCTATTGTAGTCATGTTTTACAAGTGCAAATATTGAGCTTTAGTACAGTTCAAATATCGAGACATAACATTAATATTATTTAAAAGCTTAAGCTACCCTATGAATCGTACAATAGTACTAAGGTATATTAAAAACATAAACAACTAACTATGTTGTATATCATGCGATATCACTAAGCTATATTCAAAGGCATAAGTAATTATGTTATTTTTTCTTGAGGATTTGGATAAGATGCTTGCCAAGATTAATTTCAATGAATCAAAGCTATTTGAGATAGGTTTATTTACGATGAACTAGTGATAAGATACCCTCTAGCCATGGCCAAATACTTTTAAGAAAGTTAAAGTCATTTATGAAAGATAGATCTAGACTCTATCTCTTAAGTCATTTTGGGTCATCATGAATCTTTTAAAGTAAGTAATTAATTTTGGGTATTGTATTATGGATCTAGTAGTTTAAGATTTATTTGGACCTTGTATTTTGGGTCAAGTAGAATATGATTTTGACCACCCAAGTCAATAAAGGAAGGAAATTTTCCTTGCAATATAAACTAACCATAAAGAGTGTTTTCAAAAAGTACAATGTGAATTTTACTATTTGTGCTTATCATATGGGCAAAGCATACCTTATAAAACAAAAAGAAGATTGCAATGTCTTATAACATCCGTCAAATAAAACATTTTCATCTTATATAATTTGTAGTAAATGAAATCATTTCATCTTACATATGAAATATAATTGTGTTGTATACTTTATTGTTTAACAACACTTAATAAAAAATATGAACCAATGAATTTTCCTTTAAAACTATTTAACTCATATTTCAGGATTTATATACCAATAAACATTTAAAATGTTCAAATTTTATCTTAGAAATCCAAACTAACATCAAAGTTATGTTATTCTTAGCTCGAACACCATGTTGAGTTACATCAATATAAATAAAACATTTATAAAAAAACATTTACAACTCTTTCATCGTCATTAAAATATTGATTCAAATAAATATTCAACCAACTCAAAATTAATTACATTCTACTCATACTACTCTTGGAAGTAGACAAGCCCATCAAGTTAAAAGAGATTTGCCACTAACAAAACACATATACTACCAGATAAAGGAAGTCTCTAGTTAGAAGAAAAATAATAGTATTCGAGTAAACGAGAATATCTAATTGATTCATATACTTGAAGTGCCTAAGAAATATGTTTTGTAGATCAAGATACATAGTCTAGACACAAGTTTAGAAATGCTTAATCCCTAATATTTAAGTTTCATAAGAATTTACAAAAGATGGAAGTCTAGCACATGTCTTACACGAGTCTTGGTATTGGATGAGTCTAAGAAGGATATGAGTCTAGGCATTAAACGATTAGAACTAGAGAGGATTATCAAATGAGTACATTAGATGACCTTAGTGACTGGACAACCCCAGTCACTAGACGACTCAAGTCATTAGACGATCCAAGCCACTAGATGTCCAATGTATTAGGCGACTTAAATAGTGTAGAGTCCCATGAACATAGTAGATGATTATGTTGGTGTGATGTGTCACTAGAATAGGGGATGAATAATGTTTGAAAATGATTTTAAAATTTATGCGCACAAATATAAAAATGTACAAGAATTAACTAATTAAATTAAAAGTGTAGGGATATAGAAAATGCACACAATTTGTACTGGTTCACCTCCACCTAAAGTTGTGTCTAGTCTATTAAGCAACTGACTTAAGAAATTTCACTAATCAATACATTTGAGCGGTAACCAATATCACCCTCTCCAGGTTATACGAGTTTCAACCTCTCCAAGTACACGAGTGCAAACCTTTCTAGGCTACACCGAGTATCAACCTCTCGAGGTGTCCTTCTAAAGTTCCCCCTAAGATCAAGAACTCTCAATTATAATGAATAATCAAATAACACTCTCACAATAGGAATGTACAATACAACTCACAGGTTACAACTTCACTCAGTGAAGCATATTATAATATTCAAGCTATCAACCCAATTTCTATAAACACTAATGATATGACAATTTCTATTATTTTTTTTCTTATCCTTCTCTTAAAGCTTTGCATCTCTCATATAGTTGTTGCATTTGAAAGTCATTGAGAATTTGAATTGCAACTCTTCATTTGCAATCTACTTGATATGGAATGACTTGATCAATTTCTTCAATTTGATTTTCAGTTTGAATATTCAACATCATTCTTCTTTAGGATATCTTCTTTTCTTTTATTATTGAGTTCATACTTATTTGGACTGTGCTCTCTACAATGTTCATCATTATCATGTTAAGGAAACTTTGTGCAACTTGATTCTACATTTGAATCGTTAGAACATCAATATCTTACATTTAATCAAATAATTCACTCATCAATTATTTCCTAAATATAGATCATTTGAACATTTGATCCAAAAAAACTTTCTTCTTCCTAAATTTAATTATCAAAAGATAATTTTCTTGGATGTTGTGATTCATCTGATTTAATCTATGTTTTAAACAGTTAGATCAATATATCAGTTCACATGATAAATCAGAGATCAAAATATATATCAGACCATCAAAGTACATTATAACTATTTTAATTATTTAGGTTGCCTAACACCTTGGCCGTGTAATGGCTTAAATTACCTTGGGTCATTTGACACAATGACTTAGGTGGTTTAGAGACTTAGATCATCTAATTCTTTAAATATGGTGAACACGCATTTTGTACTCGTCTAACATATTGACTCATCTATTGTTTGGACTTGTTTAATGCTTAAGACTTAGTATTTGCATATACTAGATTTCCAACTTATTTTACCATACATAGTATTTGGCTATTAACAATAAAGCATACACAAGCGAAAGTCATGATCACATATTTTGATATTTACACCACGTTGATCAAGTATTCCACCTTGCTATATGCACAACTTCACTTTTAACTAGAGACCTACTCGTCTAGTAGAGT